ATTAAGTATTTTTTAATTAAGAAATAAACATTTAAATATCACATTTTTCTCCTGACTGATTTATCAAAAGATTCAAGTGCCAAGCCTCTGAATTATTTCGTTTGTGCACCTATCACTTTATGTAGCACAAACGTAGCGACTATAATAAAACCAGACTGGACAACAAAACGGACAATAGCAAAGGGCGAAATGCGAGTCACATGGAATGCTTAAGTGATCATGTCACAGTATGATATGTAAAAACGGAATTCAGTATTTCCTCTGTGGAGATATTTCTGTCGTTAGGCGAATTCGAATCGATGGACAAATTGTTAATAAAATAATAATTACTCAAGCTCTCCTATACATGTTGTATACGTATATATATATATGTATATATATTGTTAACGTGACGTGATTCGATTGATCCTCAGACGTGATTGAACATTACTTTATGATGGGCTCATTGATCTTCCCTTTTTAACGCCGTTGTCGAGAAACAGTACGATTTATCGTACTCTCAAAACGATTGTTTCAAACCATTTACTAAGAAAAAAAATCAGTGTAATTTGTCTAACATTGAATGTAATTCATAATCAGAAAGATTTTCGTATGTATGATTCTGTTTCATTTTATAATCAATATTTGCAGGTTTATATGCTCGGTTCAGTTTTAAGTAGAATTGGTTCGATAATGATCAGACAATCTTCCTCACGCTGTTATAATCAGTGTGAGGAACATTTGTATCTTTCTGTATCCCCTTCGAACTTTAAGTAGAACTGGTATTGCATTAGTCGGACAAGGCATTTAGCTCAAATTCTATACTTCTGGTATGTCTGTATAATTTGCACAATAATTTCTTCCAAAGAAACATCGTTAACAGATATCGTTTATGATAGTGATGGATCGTAATACTTGGTTTACATTGTTGAGGCTAGATTGTGTGTCGCTTACGTATACGTATTCTCAGTTAGTTTCGCAGCCATCCTATCCTGTTGGGATTAAACAGAGGGGAAACTTGTTAAGTGGCTTCCTTCGTAGATAACAGGTTTTGGTTCAAACAGTTCGGATTTACGCAATTTGTTAGAAATCTGTCCCAGCTCGAATTCACTTAACAAATTTTCCTGTTACGTAAAACGAGACTAAAATAAAGTGATGTGTATAATGAAACATTTTTATGCTTTTTGATGTTCGGAACAAAGTTTGTTTTCATGAAAGTTCGTTCACTATCAGTTTTAGTGCAACAGCTACTTCTCATAGCTGTGCTGACAGTAGAATAGATCTATCGATAGAGCAGATACTTTTCTTTTATCAAGCAGCCTTCCTCGGGGAGAGAACGCGGGCAAGAAAATTTACGTTTTCTATATTTTAAGAGAATAGAATTACGAGCGACAAACGAGAAGTAATAAATCTGATTTTAGAATTAAACCGTCATTAAGAAAGTTTCACGGCTTCAAACGAAAGA